GGCGAATTGCAGAGGTCTTGAAAAAGAAGGGTCAACATTGCAAATATTGACTCTTTGCATAAACTTACTGTAATTGTCAATAAAAGCCTTTGACCCTTATGAAATGCTTGTAATTATACTTCAGTATATTATAGTAACATCTGACAAAAAGATCTAAAAACACTGAAGCAGCAAACTTTGTAAAAACCAATACTAGTGTAATTCTCAAAACTTTTGGCCATGGCTGTAGACTCACAGGAGGAGGCTTTTGGCCATGTTACACTGGAAAATGAACATGTACATTTATATTTACCATGTTTCCATCTCTTCCCTCTGACACAACCAGAAGCTGCCATTTTGGAAAGCCATGGAATTGAGGTGCCAAGTCCAAGCTGCCACTCAAACGGTGAGGAAGGAGAGATGCACGAGTTTGGCGATCAGGTGAATCATCGCTTCTCAGAGCAGGTTAGTCAACCTGGTGCCACTTTACTGGCTGATTAAAAAGAAAGACAACTAGTAGAAGGACACGTTGGCTGTGGTGATTGTAGCTGAAAAGTGTGTGTTCTGCATACATGCCGACGTTTAGCCAGGTCAGAGGAAGGTGATCATAAGAGCCAGTTTGCTACATTGCAGGTTGTCTCTCAGCTGTCACGGCAGGAGAGGAGAACATAAAGACAGTGTGTAAAGCCTCAGCAGCAGGCTGGTGTGTTTCAACCTGCCATATGAATGTTGACGTTACGGGTCATGCTAGCTTTGCACTCGCCACCTCTGATGTAGGGATTTGAGGAAACAATTGCTCATGCAAAACAACAAGTAATCTGTGCAAGCCTCCGACACACAAATGGGATTTTTTTGAGATTAATCCAGTTTTTACAATCTGAAAATGTGACCCACATGAATCATATCATGCCTCGTCCATTAAAAAAATATGTTGTGCTGGTTTGTAAGCTGCCTCCGGGAAATCAAAGGAATTTGGCATCTTTCGGCTGACGTATGTGAAGGGTAAGAACTTGGTAGGAGAAATTTCAGAATCAGGGGGGTGGGGGGTTCGGACCTAATTGTAGGGATGCATCGAAATGAAAATTTGTGGCCGAAGTTGAAGCCGAATAATATTAAATGCTTGGCCGAATACCGAGTACCGAATACCGAATATCATTGTTTAGTTTTTCATTAGTTTTTGCAGATGAACCCCCTCCAGATTAGTGTTGTCACGGTACCAAAATTGGATCCCACTGTTTGATACCAGTGAAAGTATCATGGTTCTGAGTAGTATCAGGATACCACAGAGAAAATGAGGCAGATGTGCCTTTTGTCATTTATAAAAAGATAAATCACTTTTCTATTAAACATCAATGATATTTCAATGGAATAAATTACTTATTGACTTATTCATACTTCAAAAACAGCATCAATAAGTGATGAACATAGGGGGGATCAAAATAAAATAAATAAATAAAATAAGAATCAACCAGCCACCCTCCTCCCCTGACAAGTCCCTTCATAAGTAAAGAACAGTCCCTAAAGTGCGGTGAGGTTTGTGGCCCGTGAACGGCTCGTTTCTCCTCTGACACGTCACATACCTGTGTTCGGCTGGCTCGGCTGTTCAGGTACTTCTGGGCAATCCACACGCCAAGAAGAGGATATTATTGGAGCCGACTTATCCGTCGCCAGTAAGCCGATGGCCGCCGTATTTGACAGGAATACATTAACATTACTGTCTGTGTCTGTGACCCCCGTTCAACCCACAATCGGTGGGATTCGCCTGTCGTTTCTGCTGCTGGTTGAAATCTGTAGGCTGCTCGCACAGCGTGCTGAATGATTTAAGCCTATTTTGCTCGCTCAAAACTATTTTTAGTCGCAAATGCGAGTGCAGTGAGGGACGGATCGCCACACTGCCGACATTTTACTCAGCCCGTCACGGCACGCTGTTTGATTGCGTTATAAAAACACGCAGCTATTATTCGGCCTTGCTTTTAACTTATTCCACCGAATACCGAATGTGTGTTTTTTTTGCAATATTCGGCCGAATATATTCGGTTACCGAATATTAGGTGCATCCCTACCTAATTATATTGCGGAGATTTGCACAGCGGCGACCGGATCTTTGCTCTCAAACCACAAAAAAATGTGATGGCACAACAGTCTCCTTCAGTACATTATTTTATGCTTTTTTTTTGATTTTCAAATTGGCTAGTTATCCTGTTTAATTTGTCTTCTGATTAAATCGGAACCGTTGAAACAAGTTGTAGGAAGCCTCTGTAAGTAATTGGCTGCTGGCAGACACTCTGTGCTGCAATGAAATGGTTAATCAGCAGTGCCGTGCACTGTAGAGCCGATGCGCTGCTGGTTCTGCCAGCCTGAATAGAATATAATGTCTATAGCCTACTGTTGTGTGTACAGCCTTTATAGACTGAGCCGAGTAGTGATGCGGGTCGACCCGTAACCCGTGGGACCTGCAAATGGACCTGCGGGTTGGGCAGCAGTGATCGTCTGTTAAATCGGTCTGTAAATAATATTTTGACATTATTGGCTATTATTGTCATGGCGTCCGAAGGTACTGATGCGTTGAGCAGGTGACAGTCCGCGGCCGTTTTCAAAACACACTTGTGTCACGCACTCCAAAAGAAACTTGTTGAAACTTTAAACAATAATTTATTTTACAAAACGGGGGAAACAAATGTTGACAAAAACGGTTCCATAATTCATATTAAATTCAAAAGATAACGGAAAAAACAGCTACAAGTTAGAGGAAATAGTGATAAAGTGGTAAAACTTGGCATTGATCCACAGCCTCAGACGGATGCGCTCAAGCGTGCTGTGCACACAAGCTCCGTTGGTAGGCTACATTTTCACATTTTTAACAATGCAGTTTAAAAGTTTTGATTTTTATTGATAACCTACATTTACCAACAACAAAAGACTACATTTAGCACCAAAAAAATATGTAAAAAAATAAAATAAAAATAAAAAAGTAAATAAAAAAAAATCGAATAACAAATTTTCATAACGAATACCTACCCATAGAACGAATATTCGAATATCTGAATATTTGGGTACAGCCCTAAAAATAAGATGCTTATTGCTGGCGCAATATGAATGTGACACTCGGATGAAGTGCCAGGCATGACCAACTTCTGCCTCGCTATCTGAGCAATGTTTGGACACTTCAGTGCGTAGTTTTCCATCACAAGAGTGGACCCTGGTCGGCTCGTAGTGGTGTCTCATTCTGTTAACGTTTCATCTCTTCAAAAAGGGTATCCAGGGAGGCAGCAGGTGCAGCACTCTCCCTGTATGTCTCCCCGAACAGTTCACACATCGCGGACAGTGCAGTGGGTGGTGTTGGCGCAGCAGGCTCCTCCGTTGGCGCCTCTCCCTCCGTCGCTGCGTCCCTCTCTGGCCTGGCTTGTGCACGAGCCATCTCCACCTGAATGGGATTCGCCGTGATATACAACATTATTGATAGTATTAATTAATTATTAATGATATTCGAATTATCACATTTAGGTTCGAACTTATAAAAAAAATAAAAATAATAAAAAAAATAAAAATATAAAATATATAAAAATATCAAATTTTTTTTGACAGCCCTAGAGCACAGCAACATGATTGAGATCAGATTTCAGCGGAGGTAGGAGAAGGGAAGAGCAGTGCATGTTGTGATTGTTTACTAGAAAGTTAATGTGTTTTTTGGGGTGATGAGGCAAGACATGGTAGAGTTTCTCAAAAAAACAAAAACTGCAGCACTATGGCATCACTTTGGATTTGAAGCCAACGGAAGAGGTGTCCTCACTGGCTGCAAGTGACACCGTTTTGAGCTCAACTTTTGTCGGACACCCTGTTTCTATGTTTTCCTGTTGCTCACTTTGAAAGTGCTGCAGTGGAAGAGGAACAGCTGATTCATGAAGATGAAATGAGGAGTTATCTACCTTTTTATTTCACTGCAAAAGCCTTGAACAGCCACATTTATGTGATAGAATTTTTCTTAAACAGGTTGACTTGTCTGATAGGAAACTGCCAGAGCAGACAATAGAGCCTGATGAATCCAAGCTGCTGTGGAGCCACTTCATACTTTTCAGATGTATATAATCAGTTGGATTCCCAGTGTAAATCCAACGGTTTTACTAACTGTATGCATCCATACTTTTCCACAGGAAGAGACATCTTCCCACAGGATTGCTGACCAACAAGACCCCTCCTCATTGGCTACTACAGAGGTCGCAGCCCTGCCGAGCCCCACCCCTCAGGTCCTGGATCAGAAAGAGGAGGATTCAAAAAGGGAGACTGTGGATGAAGAGTGACCAAAGCCAGTGGAGTTTGGATCGTATTTGAATTTTAATCAGATGAAATAGGAAAACAATAAGTGTCTCCTCCTCCACACATGTAGGGCCTTTGGGGCCTGTGGCACCCGAAAATCAAAGGGAGAGGGGTGCTGAGGCTCGCTGAGGTGCCTCTGATGGTAAGGAGACCACTGTATTTATCAACAGTAATCCTGCTTATATTAACGGCAATATACAGTATATATATATCAATATATAGTGCATTCCAAGATGGTATTAAAAAGCCTAAAATCCTTAGAGGGAGAATTATGTAAAAGATACCTCGCCCATTTTAAGCTAAGCCTTTTCTTGTTTCTTTGCTACATGCCTTCTTTTAGCCTTTTCAGAGCGCTTGTTTGATGGACTGTGGTGCCACGAGCGTGCTGAGCCTGCAGGTCAGGTGTGTTTGGGTGTGGGGTTAAAGTACGATATCAAGTATCCAGTTAATGGTGATACGAATGCCCTGCGCTTGCTTGAATGTCTTTGACCCATCTGGTTCGTAAGACTCTAACCTCAATCAATCGATTGATTCAGTCAGTCGATCAATCAACGAGTGCTGTTATCAAATCCGTAAAACCCTGAGGGACAACTGGAATCTCAGGAAATCCCAAAAAATGGTGGATAAGGACAGTGAAGAGTTGTCTTAACATCCGCTTTTTTTTCTTCATCTTGATTTTCCTCATCATAACTGTGTTTAACCAAAACAGGATGTGTTATTTATACCTTTTTATATTAGCAAGACAAGCCTAAGACAATATATCATCGTATCTCTTTGTCATCGGTCTTCTTTGTTATACTGAATGCTGCTGTTTGTTTGGTCATTTTTGGAGGATATCCTCATTTCAAAGTCTGTCTCAATCCTCAACTCAGCCAGTGAAGCTAGACTACACACACAGGTCTACTCAGTTTATGTTTTTCTTTAACGTTTGAAAGAACGCTAAAACAAATGTGATCAAAAGTGATGCGTTAGCTTACACGCTACAAGCACCTTCTCTCCTATTGGAATAAGCTAAAGCTTAAGCTCCTGTAAGTTTGTATGACTGCAAAGCTGCACTTCAAAGTGGATCTCACTATAACTGAAAGAGGGAAGCGTTACCGACTACCTGCATTTGGGCCTCGACATGTAAATAACCCAGAGAATATACACGTCTGTGGGTGCTTTCCTTCAAATTACATTAGCACTATATAGAAACTGTTATTTGTCAAACTTGAATAGCTTCCTTAAAAAACTTCACTTACAAAATGATCATTTGCGTGTCAGTTACTTACTACATGTGACTTTGAATTTGTGAAGGAAACTGTTTTTCTCGCATGTCTTTATGGTGAACGAAGAATCCAAAAAATGCGAACATTCCTCATGACTGAAAGTAAACTGGGACCACATTTAACAACAACAAAACTATAACACAAAAACATCTATTCACAAACTGTCACAGAACTCATGCAGTATAATCCAAGTCTCATTTATCCAGGTCGTATGCTCAGTGTCTCCCAAATACAATTCAGAGTTCCCACAGTCATGGAACACCTGGAAAAGTCATGGCATTTGTAAAAACCTTTGAAAGTTTTGGAAAAGTCGTGGGATTTTGTTGTGTGTGATGAAATTGTTTCAGTAATTTTCCATGGATAAGCTTTTACGTAATGTAACATAAAGGCAAATCTATTTACTGTAGCTGTCGACGTCACGTAGCTCAGTTACATGTACCGTTTTGTTTACCATCAGGTATGTTTGTGTATTTTTTCCCGTGTTTCGTCTTTCTGAATGGAGAATAAGTCTGATATGTTTGAAAAACCCTGGGCAAGTGGGGCAAAAAAAATAGGAGTCCTGAAAAAGTCTAGGTCACTGTGCTATGCAGTGTACTTCTGGGGACATTTTGGTCCCCAGATTTTGCTGCAGAGTGAGCGCTCCTGTCCGGACAGGATGGAGCGGCACAGAGGAGGAGAAACATTCTAGCTCTGAGACAACATTATCTTCCCTCCTCTGCTTAGAAGTGGTGAGGTTACAGCTCAGAGCAACTTAATACGACACAGTGTCTGGCTTTTGTTTGATATCTAGTGTCAGCAAAAAATGTTGTTGCACAATTCTGATCCACTGTTAGTGCCGTCAGCTGGTTTACTATATAACATGGATGCTGTTGTCACACTGAACGTCCCAATGAGCCCTGTTCAAACTTTACACATTTATAAAGGAAAAAAAACAAAGGACGAATAGTTGAATATTTGTATTTAACGGCCAAATCTGATTTGACTGACATAATTGTCAGTTGGGTACAGCCCAAAAAAAAGTCATGGAAAAGTTTAGAAATTTTGTCCATAAAAATGTGTGAAAACCCTGATACATGCATTCTCACTAAAACATAATGATTTAAAACACTCAAGCCGTGAGCATTTTGCGCCACTTGGCCGTGCATTAGACTGTTTGTACTGACATGTTTTAAATCGAAATTTTTCTGCCCCCACGCCAGTGACAGCTGTGGTCGCAGGCATCCAGTTTTCTGGTTGTCCCTCCGTCTATCTGTCCCATTCTCGTGAATACGACATCTCTAGAATGCCTTGAAGCAATTTTTTCATATTGGGCACAAACGTCCACTTGGACTCAGTGATGAACAGAGTAGAATTTGGTGGTCAAAGGTCAAGGTCACTGTGCCTGTGTCCATCTCATTCTCAAGAACACACTATCTCTAGAACACCCTGAGGGAATTTTTTCATTTTGGGCACAAATGTCCACTTGGATTAATGATGAACAGAGAAGAATTTGGTGGTCAAAGGTCAAGGTCACTGTGACTGTGTCCATCTCATTTTCAAGAACGCAATATCTCAAGAAAGCCCTGAGGAAACTTCCTCAAATTTTTGGCATAAATGTCCACTTGGACTCAAGAATGAATTGATTTGAATTTGGTGGTCAAAGGTCAAGGTCACTGTGACTGTGTCCATCTCATTTTCAAGAACGCAATATCTCAAGAACGACCTGAGGAAACTTCCTCAAATTTTTGGCATAAATGTCCACTTGGACTCAAGAATGAATTGATTTGAATTTGGTGGTCAAAGGTCAGTGTGACCCCACAAAAATGTCAACTTCACTGTGACGTCATCATGTTTTCTGGCCATTATTCAGCGTCGTATCTCAGGAACAGAAGGCGAGACATTTGGGCAGATACAGAATTTGTGACACAAATTTTCTGAAACTGTGCTGATTGTATAGATCCTCTGTGCTGTTGGGTTGAAGACGTGTGTGAAGCATCTTCATTTTAGAATATGAAGCAACATCTGTACTTTTTGTCGACTGTCATAGCTACATATGAGTCTGGATGGACATGGATGTAAATTGTAACTTAACTGGTTAGCAAAGGCATACAACCATGAGGTGGCAATTGTAGTTTAAATGCATGTGTTTGGGAGACACTGAGCATACGACTGGATAAACGAAACTTGCATTATACTGCTTGAGTTGTGTGAGGGTTTGTAAATGGATGTTTTGATACAGTTTTGTGTGTTGTTAAACGTGCTCATCGTTTACTTCGATTCATGAAGCATGTTCGCCCTTGATGGATCCTCCGTTCATCATAGAGGTATGCAAGAAAAACATATTTTTCTTCAGTAATTCAAGGTAACACAAGACGAGTAGTTCTTACACAAATGCTCATTTTGCAGGTGAAGTATTCCTTTAAACTCTGCATTACTTAGTCCCCTATATTTACTGGCCCAAGGCCGTGGGAGTTACTCCCCAAATGTCCATGAAATGGACAAAGGCGCTTGTTCTTGGCCCCCAACAGGGTGCTACCATGTTACCTCCTAATGCCAAAGCTATGCCAAGGTAGAGATGAGCTACTGTGCTCCCAGGAACAGGATATGACACAGTCACGACACTATAGATATACAGTACATAGATGTTTATTTGCTCAGTACAACACTAGCCAACTCTAGCTTACCTCAGAATATCTCTGTGTCATGAATGTGTGACAGGCTATCTGTCATACAAGTGACAGCAGCCATTATTGACTGTTGACGATACGGACAGTGTTATGTAGCATTTATGACAGTGGGGTTTGCCCTGTGTTGTTAATATATACTCACCTCAGACAGTTCTCTCGTCCGGCTTTGGACAGGAACCCCAAAGCTGCACGCTGTTTCTGATTATTCTGCTCCTCTATCTGCTTTTATCTGACAACGAGAAAACAATAACAATAATAAAATTGTAAACAACGGCTGTGATGTGTCTGGATTCATTCGCAGTGATTAAAGGTTTGGGATGGAAGCATTCAGCTGGTGTCAAGATGATGAAACTGGATTCAAGCAAATTCCTCAAACCAGTTGAGGCACATTAGAAACAAGTCAGCGTCTCACCCTGTCAGCACATGCAGAGTAGGACTGAATTATTCAATTAATTAAAGAATGATTCTGTAGCAAAAGCATCAGTGTTTTCTAATGTATTCAGTTCTGATCTCAGGAACAGTGCCAGTGCTGTTTGATCATATCTGGAGGAGAAGACGCTCAGGGTCACTGATGATGAGGTCTGATAACAGAGAGGTAGCTGAAGAAGAGGGTGAGCGTTTCTGCAACTTAAAGGTATGGCAACGTCTTAGCAGCTAGTGTTATGTGCCACTAAAACTTGCTGTCTACATATGTTGACTGAATTCCAGGGTGAACAAATAGGGTGTTGTGTGATCAATGTGAAGTGAAAACATGGACACATACCGCTATCTTCAACATATTCAAACAGTTCTAGCGGGCCTGGCGCCAGGCGGACAATGGCAGGCAGCCAAGAAGAAGACAGTGAGGATATTTACTGATATTATCATATTTATCACAGACCCCTGGATTGAATCGAATTGAAACGGTCATGGCAGTTTACAAATATCGTATCGCTGTCCAAAGAATTGAAAACCTATCTCATCATGATGAAACTTGTGATTTACACCCCTAGTGAAAAATGGAACAACTGATAAAGTACTTGGCTTGTGGAGGATCAGTCTTGAACTTACACTTGCCAGAACTGCCACCTTACCATTCCCATTTTAAACATCAGACATTTCTGAAATTGAGACAAATTTCAACTAAATGTCAAAAGCACAAGATGGCTGCATTGTCACTTGTCTATAAATCAAAGAAACATGGCTGTTGATGCGAGAGTAAGGCCCTGTTTACACTTGGTATTAATGGGTCTCATTCATGAAAAGTGAGTAAATCTGTGTGTAGATTTGCACATAAAAGCCTACTCTACTAAAAACCTACTCCGGATTCAGGAACGCCGCGGGAAACTCAGATTTGATTGTAAACACGTGTGTATGATCATGAATGCCAATCCATCGTAAAGTGACAGCGCACTCCCGGTAATCAGCAATTAGCATAAATCCCCGCCCATGAATAGCCAGTGACCACCATATAAGGAGGTGTAGGTGCATCCAGTCGACCTGTCAGTCATGGCGCAAAGAAAGAAAGAGAAAGAAGAAAGAATGTTTCAGAAGCGGAGATCGAAAGTGAAGTGGACTTAAGAAAAAACATTTTATTGTCTTCAATTAGTAGTGGTGTGACAGGGACAGGCAAAGTGAAGGCCTGGAGGGAGGTAACAGATGCTGTTAATGTTGTCTCCGTGGTACAAAGACCCATGTCAGAGGTGAAGCGTAAATGGTTTGATATGAAACTGGAGGCAAAGAAACGCATAAGCACACACACAAAAAATACAAAAAAGATTCATTTGTGGGGTTTTGAATGAAGTGGGAACGGGAAAGCAGAGATGTTTTGTGCGTAATGGATAAACTCTAAATCAGTGATGGCTGTCGGAACGTAGAGCTATTTAACATTTATTTTAACAAATGATACTATAACATATAGCCTACAGCAGTTTGTATGCATCGTCTTCAAATTATTTGAATCTTAATAGCCTAAAGCTCTGTTTAATACAACGTAAATTAAACATTTTTCAAATCAGATTTATTCATTCAAATGATCAAAAAGCCACAAAAAAAACAAAACAAAAAAAAAAGTGTTGTCTCAAATAATTCTTTCAGCTGGCGCGTGCTCCTTCGTGGCTCCACCACCTGCTGCTCCTGCTGAACCCAGGCACCGAGGCTGAAGAGGCTGTGATCCGGCTGTCCTTACGGATATTTTTATTATCATCATTCAACATGTAGAAAGAACGTATAATCTATTGAGTCGATTTACATAGATAATTCACAATCATGAACCTAATCTGGATCTTAAACCTGCTAATTGCCAACTAATTTAACTAAATGTGTTATATTTTTAATATTTTGTCACGTTTAGATTACGTGTTTCAAAGGCATCTGTGTATTGTGTACATAACAGAGCGCAATACGAATTAAAATTGTAATTTCCAATAGTGACAAGCAATATTTATGTGCTTTACTAAATTTACACAAGCACTACGAGTGGTCAGGAGCAGGAGTAGATTTTGTTAGTAGCTACGAAAAGATCGGAGCTACTAAAATATTGATGAATGCGGACACGCACGTAAATTTCCGTCTGCGAACAGTTTACACACAAATTCCTTCTGCTCACGTTTCATGAATGAGACCCAATGTGTTTTGGGTGATCCGATCACAAGTGGACAGTCGAGACATGTTGCTGTTCACGTCTGTGTCTGTCATGCGTCTCCAGCTGACGCCTTGTGTTCGCTACTGCCCCATGCACGGTTACCACGTCCACACTTTTGCAAGCTGCTCTGTAACATGCTCGCTAATTATGTTTGTGGTTGTGTCAGCATAGCTGGAGATTTTGCTGTCAGCAGACTTAAGCACGTCTCCGTCACACAACACTTCGTCAAACTCAACATAAAATGGGAAGTTATAGAGCGTTAGCAAACTCCCATCCAAACAACCACCACATCCTGCACTGATGATGATGACGATGATGATGATGTCCTTTTCACTGACACATCAGGACACTTTAGTGTTTGAACTACAGAAGATATGTGTCAAATGTGTCCCAGACCACCTCGGCAAGTGGTTTGAATGATCGGATCACAATGCGTCTTAGTGGTCATTAACACTTCGATTTAGTGCTGACAGCTTGTGATTGGATCATCCAAAATGCATGTTAATACCAGGTGTACACAGCTTTAAAGTAGTGCAGCCTGAAAAATGACTTTATTTATTTGTATAGGGACAAGTATGTAGCATACATAGATGCCACACACCACAGCGTTAATAGTTAAAGCTAATTTGCAGTGTCTGTTCCTGGCTGGGCCTGAAGATACAGAAGACTCAGCAACAACAACACAAGTAACAGTGCAAAGTACAAACAACAATAAAAAATACAGACAGAACAACACAAGACACAAACTGCACTACATAATTAGCACCATAGAATAGCCATAAAATTATTCATGGCGGCGCCTCTTCAAAAACTGTTTCAGTTTGAGTTTACAGTGATTTAAATCAGGATCCAATTTGAGTTCAATCAGTTCTTCTGTAATCATCACAGAGGCCGTGACCTCAGCCTGTTTGCATCAGGACTGAGTCATATATGTGGACACATGTTGCTGTGATATTCAGGCCAGCTGTCCAGGCTCAACGTTTGAAAGAGCTGAGCCGAAAGGAGAGAGCTGTTGGAAGAAGTCTGCCGTCAGGGCTTCCTGCCAGGAAGCTCTCTGTTGGTTAGGTTCAGGGAAAAGCTCATAGCTTGGGTTCAGATTAATGGACATGTGCCAGTGAGGGCCTTCTCTCATGTGCAGGAAGAGACAGTGTTACTGTATCCTGACAGAGGTTTGTGACACAGATCATTTGTGAAAAACAATTATTTTCCTTTGCCTCCTTGTGGTACCGCTCGGTGCAATGATATGATTTTTTTGCTGGCACGAGACATGTTGGATACATGAGGGTAGAAATACTTTGTAACAGAACTTTTAGTTTCCGCAGCTCACCACATTCTGCACTCAGCCACGGCTTGGTGTGTTTTCGGCATTAGAATCCACCACGTGAATGAAAACCAATCAGAGCTAAGGAGCCTCTAACACACTGCAGTCAAACTGTCAAATGTGAAAGCGCTGATCAAATATGAATCAAGATTCTGTAACTGCATCGCCTACTTCTCATCTGCAAAATACACATATTTTAGTGTTTAACTGTAAAATGATAAAGTTTGCTCTGAGAAAGACACAGATCAAGACAAGAAGGTCAAGAGGCCAATAGAGACTGCATAGGGCCCTGAATTTGGTGCTACACCCCTGACAGTGAGGACATGATCTACAGCTGTGTTAGAGACTCCTTGGCTCTGATCGGTTCCATTTCACACTACACTTTTTAAAAGGGACCAAACCACCTGGACAACGTCACGCAGTTACAACAGCTGCTCGTTTGGGGGCGCTTTTGCCCGAAACGACCACTAACCAGGAAGAAAAAGAGCACGAGGAAGAAGAAAACCTGGCTCATCAGCGAATCGAAGGGTTCGCTCGTTTGGTCCACACCAGAGTTCGAATGAGCGTTCCACTCCAAGCAAGCCTAACTATCCATGGAAGCGGGCCAGGGTTCGTTTAAAGCGGACCAAATAGCGCCAGTGTGAATGCATCCTTAGAAATGCCATCAGGAGCAGGACGAACTGTCAGTCTCATGTACCACTCTCTGGATGTTGTGGGTAAAGATTCTCAGTCATCCAGGTCATGTCAATCGTAAGTGCTTTATTGTAGGCAACTGGACTTGCTTGCATTTCTTGAAGAAGTTTCGCCTCTAATCCAAGAAGCTTCTTCACTTATAAATGACTGGTACGAAGTGCAGGCTATAAACCCTGTGTGGGTGGGAACCCTTGCAGAGTCGTAGGGGTCACTCTGAAACTAAGAGCTCATGTGACTCCTACGACTCTGCAAGGGTTCCCACCTACCCACCCTTGCAGAGTCATAAGGGTCACATGAGCTCTTGAGAGGTGACATGAGAGGCGAAACTTCTTCAAGAAACGCAAGCAAGTCCAGCTGCCGACGATCTTAGCACACTCTGGATGTAGTGACACTTTCAGCAAATATGATAAAAAGCAAGTTCTCCCCAGCGCGCACCATTGTGCACGTGTCACCTCGTCATCATTGTATATCTGCATATGGTAAAAAATACCAAAGAAAATGAGTAATTATTAATTTAATTTAACAGTTTTAATAGTTAATTATAGTTCATTTGGAATAAACTTACCGTTTTTTTTTAATTGATGCTATTGACTATTTTACAAAAAACAAAAAAAAGACGGAGATTGATTTCTCTTT